GATGGACTGAAAAGCACTTTTAAACAAAGATGAGGGTAAGATGTCGAGGGGGCATGCAGAGGTCTTCATAGAGTTAACTAGTTTGCCTGAGTTAACCAAAGAAACAGGAGCAAAGCTATCTAGGATGATGGGCCTGGTTGGAGTCGAGAGAGGCAGCGATAATGCTGAAGGAGAGATGATAGATCTAACCTTATTGACATATTGACCCTTAGCAGGGTTAGATCCACGGTGTTTATAAAAACCACTTATGGAGGGAACAGGAGGAGAAACCACTGAGGAATGAGGATAAACAGACCTTAAAAAACTTGGACGGAGAAACCGCGCCACAACGCGGCCTGGCGGGAATGCGGAAGTGGCGCTCAAGTCGCCAAACAAAGGAAAAGAAGCTAGAAGATCACGCCAATGTTTACTAGATAAACCACACTTTAAGAGAAGTCTTATTCTCACCTGGATTCCTGCTTGTTTACCTCTTTTCCTCCAACATTTTCCTGGGACCGGATGAACATTGCTTGAGGCGCACTGGTTGGAATCGTCATTTGGCTCTGTGCCAGTGCGCCACTCAGATAAACAAACAGGAAGGTACGTCCTCGGTGCATCTTGGGCAATCATGAACGAACGGAAGGACAAAAGAGTCTGGCGATCATAGGAGATGGTAGCAGGGACACTACTGAAGAGGATCGCAGACAGGAGCAAGGTGGAAAAGAGGAGGTTAGTGGAGAAAAGTTTGAAAAAGTGGCCGGTGACTGCGGCTAAGCCGAGCACAGGCGCCATCTTGTTACCGACCGGAAGCGGAAAAGAAGAGATCAAAAAGCCAAACCCTAAACAGTGTACAGCCACGACACGATGTGAAATTATTGAGCATAGTGTAGCTCTTTCAATTGTAGCTTATCCCCAGATTGCTGAAAATCAGCCTCCCCCACTGACTCCCTACATTAAGCTGGAACCACAAGAGAAAATCTCAGCAGATTTCTTGTCGAGGTTATGAACTCTTGGTAATCCTCTAGTTCAACAATCAAGACAAAAGAATGAAAGTCAGACCTATAAGACCTCCAAAAGGCTATAAGTGACTCTCTGCAACAAGTATTTTAAATAAGAATAATTACCCTAATAACCACGAACTTTTAGCTTTTCCTGCCAGAACACAACAGCCAATATATAAACATGTAATGTGGACTGAGAGCATTAATACATAATTCTTTATAACTGTGTGATATGTACCATAGACATTATTAACATGGCTGCCACATGGTGAGTAGTTAGCAGGCTATAAACTTTAGGATTAAAAGGATCGTAGCAAAGGTAGGTGGAGTTTAGACGCACATGTCCAGGACCGGTATATTTTGTCCTATTTGGGACACCGCGTTCAACCAACCACCTTTTATTCAGCCTACAACTTCTAGAAAGGGTTTATTTTCGTATAAAACTTGCCAAAGAAGCAAACAAAAATTTCAATTCTGGGTGGTTTTTACTCACAATGCTAGTTGGATTCATTTAATTACTGTGTTTTATGCTAAGTTAAAGCAAAAGGAGTATACAGGTGCTGGCCAGTAAATTAGAATATCATCAAAAGGTTGAAAATATTTCAGTAATTCCAGTCAAAACGTGAAACTTGTACATTATATTCATGCAATGCACACAGACCAATGTATTTCCGATGTTTATTACGTTTAATTTTGATATTTATAGGTGACAACCAATGAAAACATCAAATCTGGTATCTCAGAAAATTAGAATATTCTAAAGGCCAATGAAAAAATGTTTGTTTCTCTAATGTTGGCCAACTGAAAAGAATGAACATGAAAAGAATGTGCATGTATAGCACTCAATACTTAGTCGGGGCTCCTTTTGCCTCAATAACTGCAGTAATGCGGCGTGGCATGGACTCGATCAGTCTGTGGCACTGCTCAGGTGTTATGAGAGCCCAGGTTGCTCTGATAGTCGTCTTCAGCTCCTCTGCATTGTTGGGTCTAGCGTATTGCATCCTCCGCTTCACAATACCCCATAGATTTTCTATGGGGTTAAGGTCAGGCGAGTTTGCTGGCCAATCAAGGACAGGGGTACCATGGTCCTTGAACCAGGTGCTGGTGGTTTTGGCACTGTGTGCAGGTGCCAAGTCCTGTTGAAAGGTGAAGTCTGCATCCCCATAAAGTTGGTCAGCAGCAGGAAGCATGAAGTGCTCTAAAACTTCCTGGTAGACGGCTGCATTGACCCTGGACCTCAGGAAACAGAGTGGGCCAACACCGGCAGATGACATGGCACCCCACACCATCACTGACGGTGGAAACTTTACACTGGACCTCATGCAACGTGGATTCTGTGCTTCTCCGCTCTTCCTCCAGACTCTGGGTCCTTGATTTCCAAAGGAAATGCAGAACTTGCTTTCATCAGAAAACATAACTTTGGACCACTCAGCATCAGTCCAGTCCTTTTTGTCCTTGGCCCAGGCGAGACGCTTCTTGCGCTGTTTCATGTTCAAGAGTGGCTTGACACACGGAATGCGACACCTGAATCCCATGTCTTTCATGAGTCTCCTCGTGGTGGTTCTTGAAGCGCTGACTCCAGCTGCAGTCCACTCTTTGTGGATCTCCCCCACATTTTTGAATGGGTTTGTCGTCACAATTCTCTGCAGGGTGCGGTTATCCCTAGAGCTTGTACACTTTTTTCTACCACATTTTTTCCGTCCCTTCGCCTGTCTGTTAATGTGCTTGGACACAGAGCTCTGCGAACAGCCAGCTTCTTTAGCAATCACCTTTTGTGTCTTGCCCTCCTTGTGCAAGGTGTCAATGATTGTCTTTTGGACAGCTGTTAAGTCAGAAGTCTTCCCCATGATTGTGGTGCCTTCAAAACAAGACTGAGGGACCTTTTAAAGGCCTTTGCAGGTGTTTTGAGTAAATCAGCTGATTAGAGTGGCAGCAGGTGTCTTCTATATTCAGCCTTTTCAGAATATTCTAATTTTTTGAGATACCAAATTTGGAGTTTTCATTAGTTGTCACTTATGAATATCAAATTTAAATGTAATGAACATTGGAAATACATTGGTCTGTGTGCATTGCATGAATATAATGTACAAGTTTCACGTTTTGAATGGAATTACTGAAATATTTTCAACCTTTTGATGATATTCTAATTTACTGGCCAGCACCTGTATACAGATCAGGAAAATTACTTTTTCTTTTTCTAAAGTAGAAAATTGTTTTTTTCCACGTATCTAACTCTAGGAAATATGTCAAAAGACAAAATTTCAATTTTGGTTGGAATATCCCTTTGAGAATGCATGATAGGAGATATGAAATGTAATGTAATGGACCCCGCATGTATCTGTATCGGTTTATTTCAGTATTGGAAATTAAGAGTTATACAATATTGGTATACCAGATATAGGTATAAGAGCCAATGTCTAGCATTCCTAATAATAATAATAATAATAATAATAATAATAATAATAGAATCTATTTATTTAAAGAATAAATAAATTGCAACTCAATGAATGAGCAAATAATTGTTAGTGCACATGTCAAGATGCTTGCTTGTTTAAAACAAGCCATTAAAGAGTTCAAAAGGTCAATAAAAACAAAAACATTATCATCTGTAGGCAAGACACGTTCATTTTAAAGATTTCCTAAATGTCACAAATTTGCATTATTTAGTTGTTCTACCATTTTTATGAGAGAAACCCCATTCACATTCAGATTAGACTTAATGAAGATCCTGACAGCCCCATGCATGTTATGCATGTTTCAGGCATTACAGTGAAGAACAATTTAATAAAACTGCAGTCAGGCAGAATTTCCAGCCTGAGATAAGCAGAGCCAATTCCGAATTTACAATCAAACTGTCTAAATCTGACATATCACAGCAACAGATCACATCCATATTCTGTCGCTGGTGAACGCATTACAGATACAGCTGAAGAGGGGAGACAGAGAGCTGAAAACAGTCAGGTGATCAATTACAAGAAAGATAACATTTTATTTGAATTCAGCAGCATCCATTTGAGAACTCATCACAGTGCTGGGAAACCAGCCTCTATGGCCATTGTACAATGAGCTGAAATGTAGTTAGCCATAAAAGTGTCAAGTGGTTAAGCATCACAAGGATGCAGGATGCTGGATTCAATTGGTGTAATGTCAGAGCATATTGTGACTCAGTAGTAGGGTATGCATGAGGTAAACTGGCTACCAATTTAACTAGGATTAAAAAAAATAACACATCTCTAACATTTATGTCGGAAAAAAATGAAAATATGGAAAGAGTCTGATGGCTGGAACGTGACAAGCAGGGCTGATAAAGTAGTATCTTAAAGCTGTTGCGGAGGACATGGAACCAGTGAGCTGAGAAATGGTTTGGTAAACCCAGATAGAAACCTTAAATATCGTCAAACCAGTTTGTGATACAATTACATCAGCTGTGAGGGCAACTGTGATCAAACAACTACAACAAATGTTATTTTGATCTCATTTATCAAATAATAAAAAAGAATATTTCGGTGAGTAGGTCTTTGATACAACAGTTAACCTCAGACACTGATGGGGAGGGGGGTGGGGAGAGAGAAAGAGAGAGAGAGAGAGAGAAAGAGAGAGAGAGAGAGAGAGAGAGAGAGAGAGAGAGAGAGAGAGAGAGAGAGAGAGAGAGAGAGAGAGAGAGAGAGAGAAAACAAAGACATACGGCCAATATAAGATCCTGAAGGTGGATTTGGGGTCTTGGAGAGAGCTTAGGATGACAGAAAGCTATACTGATAGTGTGACTCCTACCCTGGGGGAGGGTCATCACAGAGTGAGGATGAAGGCGATGAAGAAACAGAGTGTGTGTGTGTGTGTGTGGGGGGGGGGGGGGGGGGGGGGTCGACAGGGGCAAACAGACAGTCCTGTAGCTTAGGAAGCCTTTCAGCGCTGCTACCTCCAGATGCATCATGTGCCTTTCACATCAGCCAGGCCATTTTTACAGTATAGCTCATGCCAAGGGGCATGCGAGGGCTGAGCTCAAGGAAGTAGTTTACTTACCCATTATGTTCGAGTTCATAAAAGGTGTTGAGGACACTCCTTCATGGGACACTAATTGACTGTCACTCAACTGATCGTTGTAATGAGGGCTGCCTGCAAAACCCTGGAGGAGAGAGATGAGGATATTAAGTTACTGTGTCAGTAACAGTGTGCTGTGGTACACCACAAAAACACACAGGGGGGATGTTTGTTGGCATGGTAGATAAAGCAATTTGTTAAAGTTGCTTACAAAAACTGCTATTTATGTTTTAGTGCTTGTGGTTTTAATATTTATAATCAGTTGTGTTTGTGTTATATTTGGAATAATGTTTAAAAACATTAGATCATGTTCTTTCTAACGTAGTTTATCAAACTGCATTCGCAAAAGTGTACTTTCAAAGCACGCATCTTAAGTTTTTTCTCTGTTGATGTGTTGCACTGTTGATGCAAAACCTTTAAAAAGATGGTTAAACCCTTTAAATCGGGGCAAAAATACAATTTTCTAGTAAATTTAACCTGCTGAGCAAACTGATTTAAGAGTATGAAATTCAGCTTTTCAGATCATCAGTAAATAAACTCTAAAAAAAATAACCTATATCTGAAAGTTTGTCTAAAAAACTTCTGAAAGCCTATTTTTGGTGCATCTATGTAGATTATGTGAAGCTGTTGTTTAGTGGAAGGAGAAGAAGCACAGAGATGCAATCCCATATCATTCCCAGATACCTGCAGCTTATAAAAATTGCCTTTTACTCCTGCAGCTTCATGGTGCCTTTTCATGACAGTTATCAGCTTCAGGGGCTTAGGTCTAAATATCGGTCACAGTATGGTTTTGGAAAACTTGGGGTCCTACGTAATAAAAGATGCTCTGTTACAGTGTTAATCCCAAACCCTGTGAAAATCCTCCTGGGGCTCCAGTCGAATACATCTTCCCAAAACTACATTAACTTCCAGCAGATGGACCATGGCCTGCATTTCTATACATGTATTTTCACCAACTCATACTCTTTGCATTCAGCTTACAGTTTAAAAGAAAAAGGAAATCTTATTATCTATGTTCCTTGTGAGTAGATGGTGATGGAGTAATTTCAAAGGCAGTGGAGTGTTGTGCTGCATCGAGGGATTCCCTATTGTGTTCCTGACAGGCTGCACACACTGTTAATCACACCATGAACCGACTCAATAACGACAACAGCCCCGTGAGAAGCTCAAACAAACTGATATACACACACACACACACACACTCTCTCTCTCTCTCTCTCTCTCTCTCTCTCTCTTAAACTACTAAAGTAGGTAGGAAAAAAATGTACTTTTTTTACAGTCAAAAAAGCTCTGGCGCTCCTGTTTCAGGAAGTAGAAGTTTGTTGAAGGAGTGGGGACAAATAACAGCAGGATTACGATGAGTCTTACTCATTAATATTCATGATAGGCAAATGCCTCGCCTGTCATGGTCTGTGTCTCTTTGTGTTCCTCATGTGTCCCCTGGTCTTCAGCCCTCCAGATACATCTCTCAGGTCCTGTGTTCCTTTAGTCTTCTCCAGTCACCCCTCTGCAGTGTTTATAGTTTCAGCTTTTCATTGTATTAGTCTCTTTAGTATGTTTTGTCCCACCAGTGTTTATAGTTTTCCTTCCCTTTAGAATATTAGTTATGTGGTTTCTTCTCTTGTTTTTAGGTTTTACTCTTAGGTCATGTTAGTTTCTTCCCTGATTAGTCATTGCTTTCACCTGGTCCTCTCCCCACACACCTGCAGTTCATCTGCCTCCCATATTGCCCCAGTGTATTTAAGTCCTGTCTTGTCTCTGTGTCTTGTCGGTCCATTGTTGTTTGTCAGCGTTGTTTTTGGTGCTCTGTGTGAGCTTTGTGTCTTGTCTCAGCTTTTGTGCTCCATGTGAGCTTTCGGTGTCCTGGATCTCAGGACTTTTGGATTTTTGGCTCGCTGCCATTTGGATTTACTTTTGTTCCTCCTGCAATAAAAGGATTTTTACTTTATATCTACTCCTGCCTCTTGTCATCTGGGTAATCTGCATTTTGGGTCCTAACCATCCCCGCAACGTGGCATCGCCTCTGATTGGTGAACAGCAACATGACTCTTCCACTACCTTCGTTTGATCCCTTCAATCGACTGGCACCTATACGGGGTGCCTATAGTCAAAGTGTTATGGAGATTGTTGACCCCAAAACTCTGGAACCAACTTCCACTGGACATCAGACAGTCTTCCTTAGTCTGTTGTAAAATTAAATTGAAGCAGTATTTTAGAGTTCATTTTAGTATATGTTTTATCTGCTAATAAGCATTCCCGTTCTAATAATTTGATAGTGAATTTTACGGATGTTGACTGTTTATTGTTTTGATGACCGTTTTTATCGTGTTACTTGTTTTTAGGGTTCAAGTGCATCTCTTATATTGCATATATGTATGATTAATCAGTTTTCTATCATGTTCAGCACCAGAGCTGCTTTGACTGGTAACAGGAAGGAGCTTTACTGAAGTAATATTCTTTCTCCGGTAAAAAAGAAACAACGTTGTTGTGTTATCTCCACAAATGACACAAGCCCTAACGCGTTCCATCATGTTATGGACTTGCTCATGCTAATAGTTAGCTTCTACTCGCCGAGATGTGCTTTGCTCTCTTCAGGCAGCAAAATCAGCACATCCTTCCGTGGTGGCAGGCAAAAGTGGGCAAGGCTATGAATACTATTTTTTTCTGAGGCTGGCTTTTTCTGACCCAATTGTTTCTCCATCAATAGGGGTTGAAGAAGAAACTTTTAACTTAGGGGTTGAAGAAACTTGGGACAGCAGTAGCTCAGGAGGTAGAGTGGGTTGTCCAAAAATCGGAAGGTTCAATCCCGGCTCCCACCAGAGAATGCTGCTGTTTTGTCCTTGGGCAAGACACTTAATCCACATCGCTTGCTGGTGATGGTCTGAGGGACTGGTGGCGCCTGTGTAAAGCAGGTCTCGCCTCCCCAGGGCAGCTGTGGCTACATCATAGCTTATCATCACCGGTGTGTGAATGGGTGAAAGACTGATTGTGTTGTAAAGCAACTTGGGGGGTATTAGAACCCTAAAAAGGTGCTATACAAATGTGTTGTAAAGCAACTTGGGGGGTATTAGAACCCTAAAAAGGTGCTATACAAATACAGGCCATTTACTATTTAACTTCATTGTGTGTATGCAACTGAAAGTGGCCGATCGTTATTTCAGAAGGTATTACACGTTTCTCAGTGATTGAGCCCTTTAAAATATTCAATCAATCATGGCAATATTCTGAAAACACACGCGGTAAAATGTTGGTTGTATCACCACAGGACAGCCATTGCAGCTCTAGGTCTGTTAGATCATCAATCACAGGGGTCTTCATCATTCCCAAACACTGGTGGCCTACATCTATCTAAGAAAGTAACACATTCTGTCACTGTTGCCACAGGGCTAAGTTAGCACTACTGGCTAAATAACTGTCAGATCACTATGGCAGCAAGCAGGCCACAGTTCACGCCTTGCTTCCCGATCGCTCACATTTAAACAGTGCTGTTTTTCCACATGCTGAGCTGCATCCCAGGTGAATGTGCGACTGCTTGAGTAGTCATGATATGGTCATGATGGATGCGTGTGGGGTCGAGCATCAATTAGGGCAGGGCATGAGGGACAAGGGGGCTGTCGTTTGGTGGCGATGGGCACAGCCCAGCCTGTCAAACTGCCCGTCTTTAGCCGCGGCTAAACAGGAAACGGCAGCTGGCTGCGAGCCAAGGTCAGCACAGCAGGTCTCAGGACCGTTCACAGTCGACTGATCACACATTCAGAGCGCACCAGCAAACAAGCTCAGGGACAAAACTGAATTCACTTTGTAACAAACTAAGGGATGAGCTACTCAAAATCTCTTTGCCTTGGAAAGCTTTTGTGTAACAACACACATTTTCTCTAATTGAAGTATTTGATTCTTTCTGCAAAATGATGATTAGAAAAAGGTTATTCTCAAAAGCACTTATATTCTTCTCAAGAAGCAACTCTTGAATTAGCTCTATAGTGAAGTAGTTTCATTAAAGGTCCTCGGACCCAAACTGTTCATATATTAATGACCTTATAAATGTATCTAATCTACTTGGTACAGTTTAATTTGCAGATGATACCACATTGTTTTATTCAGAATTAAATATACATTAAGTAACTCAAGTGATAAATAGTGACCAGATAAATGTTTTAAAATGGTTTGACTGTCACTGAACCTGAACAAAACAAACTTTATACTGTTTAATAAATAAAAAAAGCTGTGATGTTTCTTTAAGAATAGATGGAATGGAAATTCAAAGAGTAAAGGAAACCAAGTTTCTAGGAGTAATGTTAGATGAGGATCTCACTTGGAAATCACATAAGTTATATAAAGGGGACAGTTGCCAAAGCCATAGCAGTATTATATTAAACAAGTTTCTACTAAATTGTTCTGGATTATTAATGCTATATCACTCATTGATTGAACCATACTTAGTTTACTGTGTAGAAATTTGGGGAGCAACATGTAAAACCTTTACACAACCTTTGTTAATTTTACAAAAAAGAGCACTGAGGATCATTAATGACAGTAACTATAGAGATCACTCTAATCCATTATTCATTAGATATAAAATACTGAAATTTCCTGACCTGGTAGAGTGGAAAATATTGCAAATAATACAGAGCAAATACAAGTATTTTACCAACTAATACTCAGAAAATGTTTCACAAGAGAGCGAGTGGATACATGTTAAAAGTAAATGTGATGTCTGACGAAAGCCTAAATTCAGACCCAAAATGAAGGAATGTAATATTTCTGTAAATAGTGTAAGATTATGGAATGTCCTTAACAGGGAAATTAAAGAATCAAGTTCACTTGCTATATTTAAAAAATGTATAAAATCAAATGTATTACGTAATTATGAAAAGGTAAATTAAAATGCCAATGATTATATATAAACATTTGAAAGTGACGGAGGTTATAATATTGTGTATGTTTGACAGATAATTGTCTTTCATAAAAAGGGGCAGAAATTATAAGATATTTTTCTTCTATCTGCTCCTTTTCATTCAAATGTGGGGTTTTTTTCTCAATTTGTTTGTGTATACTTTATTTATTTGTGTTTATTTTTATGATTGGAAAATTAAAGTTACATTTATTTGGGGGAACATTTTCAATCAGGAAGCATATTCAGTGTACACCCACAATTTATTGTAACTACAATAATGCAATGTTAGAAAATACAAACGTTAAACTTCAAATAATATTTCTAATGGGCTTGGACTTAAAAAAGAACATTTGGGAGAATTATCAGTCATCAACATCCTATTTAATGTAACTGTAACATATTTAAAGGTTATCTTATTATCATATTTTACTAAACATTTTTAGTTTCTCATTTTAATTATTTTATTTATTGTTCAGAAAACTAAACAGCTTTCATGTATCTGGCCATCACAGAATATTATCACATTCTGTGATCCACATTACAGATGATTTAATTAATCACAGACACATTTGTAGTATAAATTTTTTTTTCTTTCAAAATACACGGTCTTGCCAAAAAAAAAATGTTGCCACTCCAGGGTTGCTGCAGACAGTCCAGTCTGGCTTCAGCAACATTATGAAATCAGCTGACTTAATGACCAGGTAATTCCATCGAAGGTTTGCTTGGGATTTTGGAGTTCAAGAGTACAATGCCAGCAGGTTAGTTAAAGTTAAAGTCCCATTAGTTGTCACACACACTGGTGTGTGTGCGAAATTTGTTCTCCGCATTTGACCCATCCCCTGGGGGAGGGGTGAGCTGCAGACACAGCCGCGCTCGGGAACCATTTGGTGGTTTAACCCCCCAATCCAACCCCTTAATGCTGAGTGTCAAGCAGGGAGGCATTGGGTCCCATTTTTTCAAAGTCTTTGGTATGACCCGACCAGGAATCGAACCCTGATCTCCCAGTCTCAGGGCGGACACTCTACCACTAGGCCACTGAGCTGGTTATGGTGTCTGGCTAAAATTATTTTTGCAGTGGTCAGATGCTCCTATGATCAAGCCAAGATCTTGGTGAAAAATGTATGCCACCAAGATGAAAATAAATCTAGTGAGATGCAGGTCATAATAAAAGGAGGTACAGCAAAATATCAAAGCTGCTTTAGCGAATCTACAGAACGAGCTAGGTTTTAAACGCAAACACGTTCATGGAATACTCACCCCTCTCTTCGGGTGTTTTTCCTGAGACGCTTCTGCTGGACCTGGAAACCCAAGATTCCAGAGGAAACAAGATGGTGCTAAACACCAGTTTCGGTTTTCTTTGTCCAATCGCCTTTAGTTGTCCGTGACTTCAAATGGTTTTTTTTTCCTGGGACTTCAGTTTGTCCTGAAGTTTAAGTGGTAGCAGCCAGCTGTTTCTCCTTCTCTGTTATTAATTTAGGCAGTGAACCTCTCACACCAGTGGTGTTCTGTTGCTAAATATGCAAGTGTGTAATAAATAAAGGGAGGTGTGGCGGCTTAGCGAGACGGACAACCGAATGAACCAACAGATACTTTAAGTCCGAAACGTGTTATTAGCTGAAGTTTTTGGACAAATGCGAGAGAACCACTTTAGACTGTTGTCAAGAGGCATGAAAAAAAAAATTAAGCTAATTAGTTTTCCAAATTTGCTATAACAGTGTGTGACCTTATTTTGGCCAGGCTATGCATCTATTGTCTATAAAAGTATATAGATTTTTTTTTACTATATAATCCACTCTTATATAATATATAACATCCTATGGGCTTTGTATTCAAATCTGTATTAAAATAAGAAGCTTGTGCAGCTGTGTTAGTGTTCCTGCATGCAGCCCTAATGGATGTGCAAACAGCTGTCTGCTGGCTGACGCTGTGCCTAGTGATGTCAGAATCACTCATTTATATGCACCTGGAGCTAAGATATCTCAAGCCTCTCTGTCCCATAATTCAAATCAAGCTGCCTATGTTACCATAGCCTGTAGATGTTCATTCGGGAAGGGCACAGAGAAATAAACAAGGTAACGCAGCACGAGTGGCTCTGACATTTAGCTGAGTTCTAATAGAAAGTGACAGGAGATTGACATTAAATGAAATTCATACAGGGCATCCAGAACAACCATAGTGTGAGGGACAAACAAGCGGAGGGGAACTGTTCACACTTTCTCACACAGACGGTGTGAGGTTCTCACTTTAAGATACAAAGCGGTGCGTTTTCAACATGTTATGTGCCAGCAGACCATGTCCTGGGCTTATATTGTTATCAGTACATTACACAGCTGTAAGTAGGAAAACGAGTTAGTCTTAGAAGGAAAACAATATATCAGGTAAAATATAGTAAGATGTAAAATAAAGCTTGTTAGTTTAAATATGTTTTAGATTTAGCCATTCACAATGTGACTGAAAATATCACTGCTACAGGCTTCATGATCATAATTAGGATTTGGAGGAAAATCATCTGGGCTTTCCACCAGATGTGTAAGTGGTGTGTAATGAATAGATGCGTTTTCACCCTGATCTCAGCAGTGCATCCTTTCCTACCGGGTGAGTTTTAGATGCAAAGCAGCGGTGAATGCGTTCCACACATCGGTTCCACACAACTGGTCCCGCAGGATCACAAGAGAACTGCAAGATCACGCGTGATTTCTTCGTGTAATAAGCAGAGGGAATGATGGTGTATTTTCTGTTCTCCGCCAAGGAGACGCCACAGGTGATGTCATTTTTTTTTATAGTTAGGCAATCAGAAATCTTCATTTGTCTTTTATTTTGAAATTCACCAAATGCTTTACTCCGGTTCCTTGTTGTTTTATTTCTGATCTGGCACGATTTGAAGCGTAAATTAGAGCGCTGCAACTACGCCTGTGAGACATGTCCAACACACGCCACTCCCTGCTTGGTGGAAACACAACCACCGACTTTAACGCCAGCTGTTGCAGACATAACTAGATGATTAGGCATCCAGGGGAAAGCTGCTGTTAGACTATCATAATCATGTAAGTGATGAAAAATAAAAAATAATCAGTTTGGCTTTGAGTTAATAAAAGCATGAATTTTGGACACTTTGCAAGAAACATCAGATTGTGGCTACTGTTCTCCCTGTTAGCTGGATGGTTAGTTTGGGGGAAAAAAATTTTCAATTCCACAAGCCCTGAGTAGATTTTCCAACACATCGTGTCACAGAGAAATGTGTCTATATAGGTCAAATAGCACGGCAGGCACTGAGATAAGGTGAGACTAAAACATTGTGAATTTACCGCTTTCATGTAACGAGTGTTAAGTGATGTGCTGTGGAGCAGAAATGCCACTCAGAGGTGTTAGATTGTGGGTCATCTTACCCGGGAGGACTCATAGGAAGGACTGGACTCGCCACCTGGGGCCCAAGATGCTTGAGTGGTCCTCTCATCCATACCTGTCAGAGCAAAGGATGCACAACTCATTCAGCAAGTTACCACAACTCACAAAGTTCAGTTCACACCAGAGATGCACATTCTGACCAAAATGCACACGACTTTAAAAATAAATCCCAATCTCTGTCAACATGCTGTCGTCTATGCTAACTTCTCATAAAATTTGCAAATGAGAAGAAGAAAGAAGAAGAAAATATCATTTCTATAGCGCCTCTCAAGATAAAAATCACGAGGCGCTTCACAAAAACAAAAACAAAAAATAAAAATAATGTAAAAATATAAAAAAGCATTTAGAAAATGTTTAAAAATATGAGCAAAAATAAGCAATTGCGATTTAAAAGAAAAAAGAGATAATCAAGCAGAATAATGTGCTAATTTATCAGCAATTTTAACAAAATGCTGCCTTGTAATATGCAATGACCAGGAAAGTGTCATTTTTAAACAATGACGTACAGGTCAAAGCATGGCCAAAAAAATTCATTAGCAACCATTTTCATAAATGAAAAAAATTACTGAGTTGACAGAAACACTACACACATACACACACACACACACACACACACACACACGCACACATGCACACACACACACGCACACACACATACTGCTGTCACAGCTACATCTATTTAAGGTATCTGTATGGTTCACCTATTTTCTGTTTCAAATGGTAAAAGTAACATATCTAGGTATTGAACAAAAGACAAGCAAATACTAATTCTAGGACATTGCATTAAATAAAAAAATAAATCTTCAATAAGTTGGTATGAATCAGGGTGCGTTACCTCTATGTTCAATTCAGTTTTTTTATATAGCACCAAATCACGACAAGGGTCGTCTCAAGGCACTTCACAAAGTAAACATATCAATACAGCTAATTTCAATAACCCAATCAGTAAAAAGTTTCCTCTATGGAACACAGCAAATTGCATCGAGTCACTGACTAGTGTCAGTGTCTTTACAGCAATCCTTTACAGTGTTCCTATAAATAAATTAAAATTCTACACTTAACGCTAGCTCAGACGTTCAGTGCAGTTGGATGCTAAAACAAGAACAGCCCCCATTGCGAGTAAAGATGGGTAAGTCCAAGCGATTTCTTGATATAGATAGGTCAGGCTTTTAAAATCCTAGCGTTTCAATAGCACTTTTAACAAGACACGCCAAGCCAGCAAATCAACATAAAATTACCACAATGGTGTGCCTTATAAACGCACCATGCCATCATGGCGATGCGCTTATTTTGCGGCATTCGTTCTGCCTCGCTTGGTAGTAATATTGCTGTAATTGCCAGTCTTATAAATAGCAATTGCGCCTTGGCGCAACAGAGGGAGGCGTCATGATCTCGTTGAGAAGTTACTGCTGAGCTCCGGCTGGCAACGATATTGAAAATGAAAGTAAAAACGGCCGAAAGTTACACTTTTGTAAACAGAATCAGCTGTGATGGTAATCTGGAGTAATGCAGTGCTCCTGGAGCTTCTCTCTGTTAGAGCTATTGGTCAGACCACCAGACTACAAGGGGACAGACACCTTTAGGAGCGGCTTGTTAAAAAAATGTAATAATTGCAGCTTAGATCGCCAAAAAAAAAGCAAGTTATGTTCATGATAAACTGAAGTGCAGAGACCGCCCCCATACCTCCTTTATGCCACCACTGTGTAATCTTTTGTAAAAATTGCGCAACATTATCGCCAGTCGGAGACATTGTTTTGTAAAAATGGCTCGAGTGTACTTTCTATCAGAAGCTAATGCATGAGATAGGTTCATGTTCAGCCTGCCTGAAAAACTCATAGTAACTGATTATAATCAGAAATCATTATCAAAAAACTAATTTTTACACCTATAACCCATGTCAAGAATTACCTTAATAATACAATATTATCCTCCCAATACAGCTGCCACGAGAAGGGATCCTTTTTTTCAATTTGTTTTATATTTACTTAAATTGTTCATGATCACATTGCTTTGTATGCTCTAAATGTGCAAATTCATGATTTGATGTAGGTCGGGCTAAGCAGCTGAGAAGAGAAACACAATAAAACCAAATCTTTAGATGAACAAAAACCTTCATCTCATATTTCAAAAGTCAAACAGAGAAACACAAAAATCAATAATGCCAAGCTAGACCATCTGGCTTGTGTTGAAAAATATCATATCTGGTATTTACAATCTAGTTTATATTACATAGCCATTAACCGATATTTGAAGCCACGATTCTTCTTGCTGTTTAAAACAATATTGTGTTGTTGAAACAACAAAACCATGGCGGCAGAGTGAATAAGGCATTTACATTCCCACAGTTATTGATCATCTATCTTGTAATATAATTTTCCCAGTAAATTGCAAAACCATTTGCTTGTTTTCACCTTCAAATAAAGAAAATCAAATTAAAAAAATGTATGCTTAGAAAAAGACTGTGCAGAAAACAAAAGTTTTCGATATTAGTAAATAGTTTGACATTTTATGTATTGCACCAACACACGCATTCGTAAAGCCAGGTTAGACGTGCTAAGTTTGCAAAAGTGAACACTAATGCGTTACAAACCATCAGTTTGACAAGCTGAGGCTGAATTATCTGTCATTAGTAGCATTTTTAGGGTCTTTTTAACGCTGCGTCATTTTTAACCTTCCTGTTGGACGGCAAGTCTTTGTTTGAATTTTGAAGCTCTAATTATATACCTAACCAGAAACTCTGTGACATTTCTGTAACCAGAAATCACGCTCCAGTGAGCAGAGCTTTAGATCAGTTTCATCCTGACAAACACCACGCTTTGCTGTTTGCACACAGCAGATTCATTTCCTCTTCTTCGGTGGCTTCATGGAAAAACTACACAGGCTCACTTTGCCTCTCTTTTATCATGTTTGATGCTGTCTTTTACATCTACAGTGTAACAGATTTCAGGTTATTCAGTAAAAATTTGTGTAACACATTTTAGTCTAACTGAAACCTTTTATACTCGAAATTCTCAAAGTTCTTAAGTTTTGCCCATAGGTTGTCTTCTCATCTGATTACCATCTCCGGTAAGGACTTAAGGGACCCCTCCCTTTCACAGAGCACAGACTTCCTACACAACATTACTTATTGCAAACTTATTTACAGTAAGACTTTTGAAAAATAACAAAACACAAACTGGCAGGGGTGGTCTAAATGTAATTTAAAAGAGAAAACTGGCCCTACTTTTGGTATGACATTTCAAAGACACTCAAAATCCAACAATAAATTTCTATTGCACATACACACACACACACACACACACACACAATAGTGAGTATCGAACAATTCTCAACATGCAGTGGACAGAAAAATTCAAAAGGTCAGATGACCCATGTGTGATCAGACCAAACCGAAGTTTAAAGTGCTTCACAAGTTTTTGTAGAAATCTTGTTGTAAAATGTTGGGTGTTTCTCAATGTCAAGGCGCCAGGCCTTGCGGGGAGATGTCTCGTAAGGCCAGGCGCCTTGCTTACGAGGACACTGTCCTTCCTTGGTCAAAGAAAACGGTTAAATGGAACAGACTTACATCACGTGACCGCGGCTTCTGCGGCAGTCACGTAACGTCACATGACATGGGAGATAACGTTATATTTTATATGTATAAGTTTCAATATAAATATATAACAAGACTTTTACTTTTTTAATTGTGTATAGATTTGTTAAATTAAATATATAAGCGAGCTACAATAAAGTCTTCTAAATGAATAAATGGAAGTGACGCCACCAACATCGGTGGTTGCTCTGACGAATGTGGGAGTAGATGCCAAAACATGTCAGCAAAGGTAAAAACAAGCTCTTTTTGCTCTGTGTATAATGAAGAACCACAAAAAATACAATTGGCACTCATTTTATTCAGTTTCTACCATTGTCTGTTGTTGATTAAACTCGTTAACAAGCATATGTAGCATATAAATGAGTGACTTCATTGATCCCATTTAGAAAAAAATTCACATCTATGATCATTTTAACAAACCATGAACTTCATTATACAGTCAGTGTCAGCGGTTTCAGATAAATCTCACACTGAGCTTGACCCTAACCCTATTAGGTCAAATGGACTCAACATACCAATGACTTAAAACTCTTTGTTTTGTTATTTAATTGCTAAACTAATGTGTTAATTTCCCCCAAACCAAGGTTAGCCCTTTCCACAATGTTTTTTTTTTTTGTATTTATAGGAACAAATTTAGACTGCAGGTAAATCTGATTTGTTTATCAAGTCATAATTTTTTGCAGCTGATCTCCAGGCTGTTTTGCATAAATCAAGGTAGCAGTGAAAACCTTTATAGTTAAGGTCAGCTGTGAAACGTTTCCTTTTTTGATCCATGTAACCAGCCCATACCAGCTAGTCACAACCAACCACTGCACCACCAAATGAAAATGATCCGTGTCACAATGGCCTCATCAGATTTGCATCATCAACACAGCTGGAGGGGAGAAATGATAACGCTCCGTTAGAGCCACTTTTCCGTTTTTTTCCCAATCCATCTTTCCCCAGCACACTTTTGAAGGGTCTTGCCTGTCCCACTCGGCTTCAATTACCTGGCAATGCCCAGCTGAGATGCAATAATCCAAACCCTCATTCCCTGCAATTTCCACACTTAGGCCTGCACACTCACTCGCCTTAAGTTCCCAACCACTTATATAGGTGCTTCTTCCTCCACCTTGAAGATCTGAGAGACAGGAGCTCTAACTGTGGCCTGAAAGGATGGGGAGGTGGGTTTAAGCATCACAGGCCTTCAGTGGAGGAATATTTAAATCAAAATATATGCAGATGCAATCTAATTTTAGCTTAGTGACATTATAAGCTGCAAATGAAAAGTTGTGTAGGAGCGAATTTATTAAAAGTGAAATATTTGAAATATGCTAAAAATAAAGCCACACTCTGTACAATTTAGTTTAATCCATAAAATGTGCCAGAAAACTTAGGAAGTCCCCTATATGCCCTGTGAGACACAGGTACATTTTTGTGTCTTTACTCACCAACTCAGCTTCCCTTAAAAATGTAAACAAATATGCTATTTGATGCAATTAATACAATAGAAAATAGATAAAGTAAAAACCAAGACAAGTCAAGGGATATAAAAGAGCTGATAGAAATGTCAGGCTCTGCAGAAGAAAACAACATCCATCAATGTCTCAGTGGTCCCCAGCTACAGCGTGTTGTTGCTCCCCACTTTGTCCCAGAGAATCGTGGATAAGTTAAGAAAAATGTTACATTGCAAAATAGGAAGAAATACTTTTAATATTAACGGCACATTTGAATAAATAAATACAGAGAGAAAAGGAGATTGACAGAGCGTGAAGGATCCTAGTGACCTTCAAGCATTAAAATCTGTTGACCTACTGGGATCAATACAGTCACGTGGGACTGGGAGGTCCTGGAATAACCAGTATCACTCAATTTAGTCTGCCACTGAATCCAGAAAAATAAAACACATCAGGAAGGAAGGGATTTTTCAACTCTAGTGAGAAAGTGCTCTCTGGACAAAAGCTCATCTTATGATGATGGGAAGAGAGTGGACATGGACCAAAGACAAACTGCTCTGATTACAGTTTTAAAAGACGTAAAATCAACACCTGTGATGGTAGAGAGAGAAACCATTGTCCAGAATGAAGGAGATGAATATTATGATCAAAGACGACAGCGTGTGTAAAGGTAAATGCGTGTCTGATTGGTCCACCTACAGTCTAGGGCTGGGCAATAAATCGACACATATCGTTATAAAAAGTTTTGACTCCAACTGATATAATTTATCCCGTGTCAATAAACTTCATAAGAGAAATGCTAAATGATGTTTCAGGGACTAGAAGTGAGCCACATCAGAGATGAGCTTCAAACGGCAGGGTTTGGAGTCTTATTTCCTGATATTTGGACATCTTGCCTCTGAGTGGATTACAGCAACACGACTCTATCACTGACTCTGTTTGCTTTGCAACGTTGATGCTTTATCTCCACACATAACACAAGCCTAGGGATGGGTACCTTTGACATTTGAATTGATCCGGTACTAATTCCCGGTACCTACGAATCGATACCGGTACTTAACGGTACCAATTTTCGATACTTTTGAGTGTTTATTACTTTAATTCTCTTTCATAATTAAATATATATTTTTCTCAATATATAACCATATTTGATAAATATCATGATAAATAACATACAACTGTTTGTATTTTAACATCGTCCTTGTAGTTTTATAAGCTGATAATTAAACTGAAGCAAACATCTTTACTGGGAGCTAAATTTACTGTGTATCTTCATTCCTTTTACCGTCCTTTTTCAATTGATTTTTCCTACTGGGAAGTTAGAATTTCCGAGGAGAAAGCGAACACACCATTAGATGATAACAATGGTGGCATAGGAAGGTAACATATCAAGCTACGTTATCTTAAACAGTTTATTTAACTGCTGGAGCAGATTTAAACGATGATGCCTCACACTTAAATCGTTGTCACTGGTTTCATCTTCACCCAATCATCCGTCGCATTTAGTGAAAATTTAGCCAAACTTTAGTGCGCGTTCATGTTCTTCTAGTCAGAATTTCGGAGTTCCGAGGAGAAAGCGAACGCACCATTAGTGAAACGGAAGCTAACAAATCAAGCTAACGTTATCTTACATTTTATTTACCTACCGGAGCAGATTAAGATGAGGATGTCTCACTTAGATCGTTGTCGCTGGTTTCATCATCACCCAGTTACCCATCACATTTAGTGAAGTGGACCCAAGCTTCAGTGTGCATTCTTTCTACCATGCTGCTCTGTTTACAACTCGCTCGCAGCGACCGATGACATAACGCTCTTGCGCATGCGCAGCTGTCTAGGCAAGTTCTCGTTGTGAAGGACGGGTACCGAAACGAGGCACCGTTTCAAATGAAGTGAATCGGTGCTCGGTCGGTACTATGGAATTCGGTCGGTACCTTAAAAAGTACCGAATTCGGTACCCATCCCTACACAAGCCTGGAGGATCTTCTGACGTGTGGTAGAGTTGCTAATGCTAACAGTTTGCTTTTACTAGCCGAGACATTCTCTGCTGTTTCCTGGATGCTAAAGCAACAACAGCCTTCCTTGTCGTGAGTCAAGATGGGTGAGTCCACGAATGTTAAGTGACAGTGTGGTGTAGATCTGTCAGGATATTTCAAATCCTAGAGTTTCACCATCTATTTTCTATCAGAAACTAACGCAGGAGATAGGTGTAGGAGACTATTTTCATCTTCAGCCTGCATGAAAAACTCAGAGCAATGGATTATAATCAGAAACAACTCTCTCGCATTGTTAAATTAGGCAGCAAAATTACAGGTTCACCTCAGATCCCACTTTCTGTTCTTCACGAGCGAGCAGTGCACAGGAAGGCTACCCTGATCAGTGCAGACTCAACCCGTCCATTGAACCCAAATTTTCAGTTACTTCCATCAGGAAGGAGGTACAGAGTTCCATTGGCCAAGAAAGGTGCCTATAAGAAATCATTTGTTCCCACCGCAATTACAATTTTGAATTCTTAAAGTTTTATTTTTTTTTTACGATGATAACATTTTAATACCTTTTAATTGTCTTTTATATATTTGTGTGAATGCGATATGGATTGTATTGTAAGGTGAGCCATGTCAAAGGCGAATTTCTGCCTCAATTCGAGGTGGACAATAAAGTTTATCTATCTATCTATCTATCTATCTATCTAAATAAATAAATCATTAAAAATGTTTTTTCAGTGATCCACATCTCTAAAAAGATTTTAGAGGGAACTTAAAAAAAATTTTGAGAAACTTTTTTTTATTCTAAATGATTTACAATTAATTATTATTGCACAAAAAACAATTATTCATTTTTATTCAAGTTTTTAAAATATAGCAAATGAGCTCTGTAATTAAGTCAAAATTCTTCTGATGTGATGAGTGCTTTTTTTTCCAACAACTGGATTAAACCACAGTAATACAGTTATGGCCTCCATGAGATCATACACACTAAGTTTTAACAGTATCTGATGCAGACTAGTTAAAAAAACTGCATGTTGTTCTGAAATCAACGAACCTTAAAGAATTACATGCTCCATGATCCATCACCAGCACGCTTTAGATGCAACTGGTTAGAGAAGATGTTCCATCAAAAGAAATATGCATTAAATCCTTTATTTTTCTCAACCCTTATTTATTAGAAAAATTAAACAGGATCTTTACAGTTTGAGGACAGTGTATGTAGTTATATTTTATTAATAAATGTATTTTAAAAATTATATTATTTTGTATTCAATCAGAGAGAAAACAAACTGGAAGTATTTGTAATAAATAAAGATCTTGGTGGTGTTACCATTTAAAAAGCAGTGAAAAATGCAGCTTCTTTGTGATTTGTTTTACTGAAAAGTGCACACACACAGCATCCGTGAGTGATTAGGTATCATAAAAGTCATCCTCACAGCTCCACAGTTCATGTGTGACAGCTCTGTTCTTGTTTCTTTGTCATTTCTATGCAATGTGTGTCTTTCGTTTCACAGATAACTGACTACAATGAGGCTTTGTGAATGCACACAAGACACGCTTTCAGAAAACATAATGCTTGATTGTTGACTTTCTCTAGTGGCACATCAGACAATAGATGTGCTTCAGATTAATGTCCTGTAGCGTTTATTTCTAGAGGAAGCAATCCAGGAGCAGGGAGTCTGAACTCTTGTTATTGCAACTAAACTACCCACAAAAGACGCTAAGATGATTACAATTCCAATTCAAAAGCAGCTCCAACACTCAGAATTAGACACATTTTTCTTACACATCCCAGCAAATCCTTGATAATAATCGCCTCTGTGAACAATTCCTGCACCTGACAACACCTGGTCATTACCTAAATACTCCTGATTTATGCATTATTTATTTATCTGACACCAATGCGTGGAATGATTAACATTCACAGCACTACACCATGATGGTAAACAAATCAATAAAATATTTACACATGTCTAAGGTCTAAACTGTGCTTTGTTCCAACATCTCTACTGCAGCGCCGCGCTACAATTCCAGGTGGAGAGCTCAGGTTTCGAGCACCAGATGTGAGGAGCAAACACAGCCATTACAGAGGAGGAAGAGGAATTGCATCCAAGAATGAACGCCAAGACACTTTCCCTTGGATTTCTAAACAACCCCACAAATAATGCAAACAAAGATAGACAAGGGCCAACAACCGGTTTTGTGTGCAGACTTTATAGTCAAATAAGGCGGGATAAACAGAAACCACGGAGTGGGGAGGGAAAAATAGGTTTAAGGGATCAGAACTTACCAGATGCACTGAACTGACTGCTTCCAAGTGTGGTAGGCCTGTTTTTCCCTCCACCTACAGGTGGAGAGAACATCTGAAAGCAAAGACAGATGCACAATTAAAGAAAGGCCCATGCAAAAGCAGCTGTTGGGAGTTAAAGTGCAGATTATGATTTGTTAAACTCATTTATAAAGTCTGGATCCTCCTATTGCACTCATTTCCCAAATTGTCATTTTGCATAATTCATAGAATTGTTTTTCTTTACCCATCTGAAAACAGCTGGAGAACGAAAAAGAATTAACACTTTTATGGTGTCCAAATTATATTGTTCCACTCATCTCCTGAGATGTAATTTAAAAGTACCTGATGGGGGAATTAGTACAATCAACATTTAATATTAAGGCTGTTTTTACTGATGACACTGTTTTTGATTCAACTGCAAACCTGAAATCGATTAAATTAGGGAATGCTTTACATGTCAAGAAAAAGGGGAAACCCAAAATTTAGGGGTGAGTTTTTAGATTTGCACCAAAAATGCATGGCTTGGCGCAGAAGATGCAAAAAAAGATGCATGCATTCACTAGCAAACTCAGGTTATGGAACTGTGAAGTGCAAAGGGGAGTTCTGTTTATATTTAATTATCATTCAACTAAGAGTTTGTGAGCTTTTTGAAGTTAAAACCCCATTTTCAAAACTTTAAGATGTTTTTTTCTTCACGATGCTGCCTATTTGGATCCTTCCACCTCTAAAGCTTACAGAGCTGACTGACACCAACAGGTAAAAGCAAGAAATAAAAGCAGTAAATCCTACCGCGCTGAAATCCAGCAGGTCACTTAATTCCTTGTCTGTTCCGAGAGCGGCAGTCCGCTGCTGAGGATTCATTCTGGCGATCTAGAAACCTGCGGAGAAAACAGTCCATCAGTTCACATCTCTGCAGCTTTATCTACCAGCGGGGACTAGCTCCACGGGAGGGATTTGTTATGGATGCAGAATAAAGACCATCACCATGAAGTAAAGTTGACTCCAACATCGCATCACGCAGAGAAACGCATGGTTCTTTCATGTTACAACTGATCAGATGATGCGGACATTTATCTTACACGCAATGGGTTAATTGTTTTCTTTATGTGTGTAATAAAGCGTACAGAAGGAGCGCTTTAAGTGGATGGGTGTCTAAAGACAGCCGGGAGCTGCAGCTTCGCGTTAGTGCAGCAACAATATCACTCTGTAATGACACCGCGTGCTAGTAATAGTCAAACATTGAAACAAGTCACAGATCAGACTGTCATCCAACGTGTTAATGTCAGTGATTTATAGAGCGTATTTCCACGGCGGTTCGCTGTTAGCTACAGAGCTAGCCGGCTAACACTAGCTGCAGTTATGGGTCGAAAATAGCAGCAGTCCCTCACTACTGTGTCTGAAGACAGCGCTACGATGAAGACAGCGAAATACTTTAAAATTACAGATACAGACACTGTTAGTGACAGTCGCATGCTCCAGAAAACAAAACGCAATGATGGTCTATCTCTCAACTCCCAACTTCTTTCACGGGTCCGAAGCTTCTGGCAAACTCCTCCTCATATTTTACCTGTTTTCCGATTCAAATTCCGACTAGGGTGATCTGGTGAAGATCCGCCTTCTGTTAACGCGCCTCAAAAAAGCGAAACGTGGGCTTAAAACCGCAATACGAGTGGAAATATCCTCTATATATCAGTTACGAGTTTCCCTTAGGCAGACATTTTTGCTTTGCAAAAGCCTCAGCACGACGATGACAGCGGTTATTGTATCCCTCCGCCACACAGAGGGAGATGCTGCGGGAGTCGCTCTGATGAGCGCGAGCCTCATCTCCGCGTATCCCTGAGCGCGCTGCTGATGGCTTTTTGCGCTCTACTGCTAAATTATCTAAAGAAAACGGGAGAAATATCAGAAATCAGCTTTACAGTTTGGGTAACTTTCACTTCTTCATCTTTAAACCACCAACCACTCAAAATCTAAACGAGTATTGAGTGTTTTTTAAATTTGTTTTTGGGTGAAATTTTGGTCAAATTTAGTAAGAATGATGTATTTTTTTCACATTGCACTTAATTTGTGCAAATAACCACAATTTCCCTAAAACTGTCTAATGCCCTAATCTTTGCCATCTCAATTAAAAGCAAGACTTGTAGATATTTCAATAGTAAATTATCTTTAGCTTAGTGTTTAAAATTACAGTAAATCTTATTGTTTTGGATTTTGAAAAACGACTTTAGCTGTAATTAAAATGTGCAATAACTTTTCTTCTACTACTACTATTCATATAAATGGTATTTCATAACATTGATATTCCTCGCATAAATAACAGTATATTACATGTTCATTTAACTTATAATCAGTTTAATATTTTATTTTGTATAATTTTATGGTAAAGTTGCACCTAGTTAAGGGTTAAAATTAAACTAACTCCTTTTTCACAGCTGTAAATATTTGCAAACATGTTCTGTTCACAACATATTTTTTTCAAGGTTGACTTAGTTGTAACAAGACTATGATGTAATAAAATGTCACTGGCATATAAAAAAGTCTGATATGTTATTTTAATTCCCAGCATCCTCTGAATTCATTATGGAGAAAAAAATATGTTAAATCTATATAATAAAAAGGAATGTTTGAATAAAGAAGTTATAGATTTTATTACTTGTCATTGATATTTCCCTAATGTTATGTTATTAATTAAAATTATTATAATTAATACATTATTATAGCCATTATTACCTTAAATTAATAAATTATACAAAAATCACTGAGGGGGGTTTCTTGGTGGAGTAAAAAGTTAGTGTTCTATAGATTTTTTTTCTCAGCATGAGCAAATATTTAAAAAAAACTTTTTCTGTGTATCAGAACATGTTCACACTTAATAAATAACTTATTATTGGTCAGTATGAAAAAGATCGTAATATACTTCACAGTGAAATTAATTAAATGCATAGCACGTCTTTTTATTTACACATTTTTCAAAATCCACGTGAAATGTGAATTGTTGTCATGAATTTATTCAGGAAACAGACATCATCCAAAAAAGTCAGAGAAACCTCTGAGAAAGAAAATTCATCATAAAAGTCAGATATGACAAATATATGAAGAGGTGCGTTCACCCTAACCCTAACCGATGTCACAAGATTTATTTCTATCCAGTGTTGTATTAATGTTTCACCAAGATCTTGCATTGATGATGGTGGAGTCCGACCGCTGCACAAAGTCTTCTCCAGCACATCCCAAAGATTCTCAATGGGGTTGAGGTCTGGACTCTGTGGTGGCCAATCCATGTGTGAAAATGATGTCTCATGCTCCCTGAACCACTCTTCAACTATTTGAACACGATGAATCCTGGCATTGTCATCTTGGAATAGGAAAGATGGAATAACCTGGTTATTCAGTATATTCATAGTCAGCTGACCTCATCCTTGGAGCACATCCTGTTGCTGAATCTAGACCTGACCAACTGCAGCAACCCCAGATCATAACACTGCCCCCACAGGCATGTAGGCACTAGGCATGATGGGTGCATCACTTCATCTGCCTCTCTTCTTACCCTGATGCACTATCACTCTGGAACAGGGTCCTGCTGGACTCACCAGACCATTTTTTAATAATGTGTTGGACAGTCGTTTCTTCAATCTCCTTAGATGTTTTCTCTGCTAGATGCATGCCAACGATCTGACCCTTCTCAAACAGACTAGCATCTTTTCCACGACCACCAGATGTGTCTTTCCACATGGTTGTTTAAGAAATGAGAAGCGACTCGTTGCACCTGTTGGGATTATATAGCTTGTTTCCAATTATTCTTCAATAGAAGGCTCACACCTATTTGCTTAGTTAAATTCAGGTGGCAACTTTTTTTTTTTTGGGCTGGGTAGTGTATCAGCTGAAGGTCATCTCAGACATAGAAAGAGAAATAGAGATAGAAAGGCACAGGGAAATGAAAATGTTAAAGTTATTATACAAAAGGATTTCTATCCCAGAAAAAGCAACAAACAAAAAAGACATTATTTTAATGTGTTCACTTGTTTAAATAGAGATGATGAAGCACCACAGCAGCTTTCTAACAGCGCACCAGCTTTGCTGAATCAGAACAGCATCTATATATAGAATGGAATGTTCCATATGAACTTAATAGGACTTTAGAAACAGGTCCATAGACAAAACACATCCATACTGTTTTAGTTTTTGGCCAATAGTTAATCGTGAAAGTACCAACATGGAGTTTTTGGCAACATTTAGCATTTCTCTGCTCAAATGCAGTCACATAATATTTTTGTGATGTTGTTCATTTGTAGCCAACAACAACTTAAAAGGGCTTTTGTTCTCCGCTCTATAACTGGATAATTGGCCGTTTCTGCGGAAATCTCGTTCATTCCAGTGAATCTGAATGAAGACACATGTAGCTCCAGGCTGCAACATTTATTGCTGTTCAGCTCGAAACTCCAATTAGGAGAGCATCCTTTTTTGTTTCACTCAAGGAAACGAGACATGAACTAATAATGAATCCAATAGGTGGCAATCATTGTTTAGCTTTTAGAAAATAACATTGATTTTGGAGTTGAATCATATTATAAGTAATGATTTTGTCTAATTTTGTCCTGAGAAAAGCTCACTCGCATAGTCCCAAACTTCAGATGAAGTAGTAATCAGCAGGTAACAAAAACTCTCTATCACAACCCTTTTCTTGCTGAGCTTGATCCAGTTTTCAACATTCAAGTTTAAATGGTGTTTATTAATTATTATGAACCACCAATAATGGAAAATGCTGATTCTGTTTGACAGATTGAGTTTTCACGAGAGGACAGTTGGGTGTGGGTGTTCAGCTGCATGAAGTTAGAAAACAGGGAAAGTTGTAACTGAGACGTGTTTGAAACTAAGCAGATCATTAAGGTGCGGAGGAGTTGTGGGTGGTGGGTTACCTTGGCAGTGATGACCCTTTGACCCTCATCTTTAATACTCACAAGGGCCAACATAAAACCTGGTTTACCTGTGATTGTCTATGGAAGTTTGATTAATTTCTTATCGTTAAACTTTACATGTAAATTTGAAGCAAAGAGAAAGCCATATACACATGAAGCAGAGCGAGATCTTATGAAACCCATTAGTAGACCTTGTGGGACACCACTTGGGTGTTATTGTGTCACCGGAGATTGCCTCTCCCATAAAATCCAAATATTTTTGAATAAATGAGGCTTGTCCCTCTTACAGCTTCACTAAACGTACTCCCTGAACCACCCACACATTTGGCTCAGTCTTCACCTAAAAGTGGGAACAAAGAACCAATTTTAGACATGAGTCTAGACCTAGGAAATGTTTCCTTTTGGAGTAATTTTCACTAAATAGGGTGAAAATGGGCTAGAACCCTTTGTAGACATGGACTACAGAATATTCTTTAAATTACATTAATCCTAAATCATAATTAGTGATTTAAAGGACTATGCTGTTATCACATTGTGACTCAATATTTGTAGAATTGACAGAGTTTTGAAATTTCAATGGTTAATTATCAGTGTTGGATGAATGTCCAGCAAATGAGTGATAATGATTCTTGTGTTTGCTAATGTAATCAGCTGTGGTGGCTATCTTTAATCACAAAGGAAATTAAAGTTCAGAAACTCTGACTTTAGACAAAAGGAAATGCTGATTTCTGTTGTTGTTGAAAGAGCAATGAATTAAAGAACACAACTGCCAGAAAATAAATATTTTCATCTTTTGTGCATTAATGTGAATTATAGCGATGATGATGTTCATATTGGACTTTCTCCGGATCTTATTGGAAATAAATAGGGAAAGGACATAACAAAACAGCATGTATACTACATGTATGTTCAATGACTAAATAAAATCCTGTGCACAGTTGATGAACAGTAAAAGCAAATAAAAACATAAAATTCTTTTCATGTGCAGTGCTGAAGTTTGCATAATTGAGCAAATTAGGAATCAAATTTAAAACATTGATTTACAGACTCTCGTTTAAATCAAAATGTCAAGAAAGGGAAAATTAACATTTATTTTTCTGTTTGAGTTGAACCGAAGCTCCTTTGCACAGATGGATTATTCCAGACTGCCACCTGTTGGACAAACTCAGATTTCATCAGCTGTACCTCAGAGAAACACCGCACATCAGCAGATCAGACAAGTTTACAAGTGATTGTTCTATGAAATTACAGCTAACAATACAGACGTTGTATTAAAATGACACACCATTCTGTTTTTTCAGCCAATAGGAAACCTAAATTTTGTGAGTCTGGTCAGAATGCATAAGCACAGCATGCTGGGATTAAAAACACACTCCAACTGAAACAGCAGCAATGTTTAAAATAACATTTCAGGGTGAGACTAAAATGCAAACTCTTGCAGAAAGCGAATGGTTGAAATTAAAACTGCAAATTCTGAGCTTTTCAGATTTTTATTTAGTCTTCAATTTACATAGGCTTCAGGATCACAGGATGCTCCTTTTTCATAAGACACCACCTGAACTATATCTCCTAGTTTCTGCTGGAAGTGTGTCTCCAATAAATGAAACAAGGCTTTTCAATAAAGATGTTTCCTCACGCTTTAAAACACTTCCTTCAGAGCCACTTAACTGGTTGTTTAATTGATCTTTCTAGCTGATGAGTCAGTTTTATTTGGATTTCTGCATGTTAGAATTAAAAAGTAACTCCATGGTTCTCAACACTGGGCTCAGTATTAGTGTGGGTAACAAAACAATTGATTTAGGGCTTGAAGATTATTTCTAAACAGTCAAAAAGATCATTCCGAACTCAAAA